TCTTCTTCAAGGGTATTTCCTATTAAAATTGCAATTATTAAATTCAGATACCGCATTCGTTTACGAAAACGAAGCCGTGATCGGAAAAGTGCTGCACGAATATTTCACTAATGGAAAACTCAAAAGAGAAGATATATTTATCACTTCAAAGGTAAGCTAAATTTTTAAATGTTACTTGGAATAACCTTAAGTAGAAAAGGGACAAAACCTATGTAATCGACTGATTGTGAGATGCCAGATTGGACCTCTAATAGCACAACTTTTACTGGTTAAGAATATTTGTTACGTTTTGGTGCTGCAATTCAGCGTTGTTTTTGCCCTTTTCAGTGGTTATTTTCTAAATATTTATATTACAAACATACATATTCAGCTCCCTCTTACTGCACATGCCCCTGAAGATGTAGAAAAGGTTATCAAGTTGCAGTTGGAAGCCTTACAAGTGGATTATATCGATCTCTATCTCGTTCACTGTCCTGTGCCTTTTCAGGTTTGTAATTAGTGAATATGCAATACAATTTGGACGAATTTCATTGAAATTCTTAGAGTTTGATTTTTCTATTTGATTTACAATGACGGTAAGGTGGTCTTTTATGAAAATGATGTGTGCAATTGTCTGCGGCGCGAACGGGAACAATGTGTAACACTTGTAACATCAAATCAATCATCATGTGTTTTTTAACCGTAAATTGGTGAAAATGACACCTAGTCTTTCTCGTGCAAGTTTTATAATCTGTATAAGTATACTGCAAGGCAATAGCAGAAGTCGTTTTCCAATTTGAAGCTCAAGCAAAAAATTCTAATAGATAATGTTGGAATAGCAGTTTGGATTGCATAGAACACATGCTTGAGAAATAGTCGAAAGCAAGCTCATCTTTAGTGGATGGGTAGGTATCAGCATAAGATGTGCTGTGAATATTTTAGAAAGAAATTTAGAGGGAAAAGGACACTTTTGCGCCCGCTATTGTGGATGGACTGCAAGTGCCTGTTACTATCGACCACGTTGACACTTGGCATGCCGTTGAGAAGCTGTACGATGCCGGGAAAGTGAAGGTACCAGCTAGTTTTCTTTTGTTTCTACGAGACAATGTAATTTTAAATCTCTTCTAGGCGTTGGGCTTGTCAAACTTCAACGCTAAACAGTTGCAAAACGTCTACGATCATGCACGAATCAAGCCAGCCAACCTGCAGGTTCTGCCTTTTCCTATAAACGGATTTGTATATCTGTCTAAAAAAATCGCATTCTTTATCGTAGGGGCCTCTGTGTTGATTTTTTGAACCTCAAGATTTGCAGGTTGAATGCCATCTATATTGGCCACAAACAGAGTTATTCCAGCTGTGTAAAAAGCTCAATATG